GCGGTACTTTCCACAGAGATTCATAACTCGATCCAACGAAGGCGTCGAAAAAAGAAAAAGAGTGAACAAGGCCTTATGCGTGCTGGGCATGCGTAAGCTTAGCGAAGCCGCGAAGCTGGGCGGGGCGTGCGTTATGGTGAACGCTACTTTTTAAAAATGAGTGTCACTTCGTTCGGAAACGTTCTAGAGCGCGGGAAAAAAGTGGTTAGAGGTAATGGAACAAATATGGTCAAATTCTCGAAGCGGGCGGAGTTGGCACCTAAGTGGGCGAGGCTTAGATCAAAAATCTATAACTCTATTCAGAAACGTTCTGGGATGCGGCAAAAAGGTATTACTGTGTAAAAGAACAAATGTGGTCAAATCCCTGAAGTGGGCGGGGCTGGCATTGAAATGGGTGGAGCTGGCACTAAGGTAGGCATCGAAAATTTATAACTCTATTCAGTTCTGGAACGTTCTGGGATGCGGGAAAAAAGTTGTATGATGTAGTAGAACAAATGTGGTCAGGTCCCAGAACCGGGCGGGATTATCACTGAAGTGGGCGGGGCTCAAAATTATTAAGTCTTTTCAGGTGCGTTTCGGAACGCGGGAAAAAGGTGTCTGGAGGTGATAAATGTAGTGTGGTTCGAAGTCTGAAGTGGGTGGGGTTTGCAAAGGGGGGGGGGGGCGATATCATAAATTTATACTTTTGTCCTTCACACTAACCCGAGGTGTACAATTAGGATATACCACTGAACTCTGTCAAAAATTAGGCCGAAAATTTTCTAAAAGTTAGTATCCATGGTTCCACACACAGTAGTCTCTTCTACCCAAGAGCAATCGTGTAAATGTAAATGTAAAGACGTGTAAATCACTACAACTGTCCAAAAGGGCTTTCCTTTCAAAGTTAGTCTTCATGGCCACACACAGCCCGAATTACACAGGGTTTCTGCGGCTACATGGACTGCAGATGTATTTGATTTGGATACATCGGAGTACTCTTCATGGCCACACACAGCCCCATTTCACATCCCAAAATGATGGCCGCTACAGAAGTGTCCTGGAAGAGGCTCAGATGATAAAGGTCTATAATGAAAATCAGAAGCCCATGTGGCTCCGTCCCTCATGGTTAGAGCCCCTAGCGCACGCATTAGCGTGGTGGCCGCCTGGTTTTTCATAATGGAGATCAGCATACAATCATAACCGCAAAAGCCACAAGAATTGAGGGCTAGTGAACTGTGGTAGAGAAGTGAATGTTCTTCGATATATTTTTCATTTCTAAGTTCTTCACTTCTCACAAAAAATGGCTTGCATAAGCAGAGCGGTCTGACTAATGTAACGGAATTTTTGTGAGCACAAGCACTATCCATCTTGTTGATTAGGTCAAGTGCTCCTTCTGTCCGTAGCTCATGGGTGCTTGATTAGGTTAAGCGGACCTTCTGTGTGTACTCGATCGCGCTGCAAGATTATGAACGTGATTGCAATAAAGTTAGTGCTATCGTCGTTTTGTCGTGCTTACTGCGAAATCACTCGTCAAAAAGACCATTACCCGTTGTTGTGCGGCGGAGCATATAAATGAAACCGTAGTCAAAGAGGCTTTATCGATGTCATTTTTTATGATTCGATGTGAGAGACTCAAGCAAAAGATTCACTCCATTTTCATTAATCTGTATTTCAGATATATAATCTACGAACAAGAAGTTCCATAATTGCTGATGCATTTGAGGCTGCTTTTGAGAATCTTATTGATTATTCTACTGCGTTTGATACTTTGCAGTATCTGGAGCATGAAAAGGTGTATTACAGCATTTGTTTGGATACCATGTAAATTTGCAAGTTACTGAATAAGTTGACACATGTAGGAGTACCTAGTGTGGAAAACAGTAAAGAGTGCACTCAATACTGTGGCAGATTTGGGTAATTTTTTCACTCAATGTAATGATTCGACATCGTACAAGGTGAGGACTGTTGCTACGATCCTTCCTTCGAAGAAAAAGAGAACTGTGTACGTTATAATACAAATTGTGTAACAAAATTCTGTACTTCAGGGATACGTGAGAAACCTCCTTAAACCCATATTTGAACCCAGCTTTTTTGACGATGTAGCATATCAAAGTGTAGACAAAGAGTACCTCCTTCCCAGGTATGAATTCCCGAATGGAGCAGAGCCTTACTTCATAGAGGCGACTTGCTTTTTTTTGAGGTGTTTTCGTTTTAATCAAATTGATGTGTATGCCGTTTCAACTCTACAAATTAATTGTGACTGTGAGATTTCTGTTATCTTACCTCGCCAGTCTTTCAACTTGTCGGCTTATCGGCCGTCGGCTTCCCTAGAGTGCCTAGAACTCCCTAGACTGGGATAAGGAAAGGAAAATTTCGCGGTTTGCGAGAAAGCTCAGGATGAACAGAGATTCTATGCTGACGCGGCGGTAGTGATAGCGTTACATGGGGGAGGTGTTAATATCTGACAACATATGTAAGTAACTGATAGAGGTCAATTTATAGCATTGGATGGATTGAAAATGAAACGATAGCGTGCCGTCATCTATCGAGGGTTTGTACTAAGCTCTATCAGACAAGAGTTACTACTCTCCCTATGCCATTTGAATTGACAGTTGCGTCGTGACAGCAGAATGGTCTCACTAGTGCGGGTTGAGGAAATAGAGATAAACGATTGTAGAAGATTTATCCTTGGCGTGAACACTCGAGTGGTGTTGTATGAAGGGTACTGCTATCAGCGCAAGCCTCTATAGAAAGGCTCCATTCCTGAAGATTAAAAGGAGTCAGTCATAGATAAACCATTAACAAAAATAGTCTTTAACAACCGGCTTATATTCTACCAGTAGGTTCACCCGGCTCACACCGAGCCTCTTTCCTTACTTTAACAAAGCAATTGAAAATGTATTGAAGGGGTGAACGCATCGCTTTTATGCAGCCTGAGGGCTTGCGTGGCAAAGAAGGGATAGCCGACCTACCTGGGCTGATAATCGTTCTAGGCAAAATGAGCAGAAGAATATAGTTTTCACCTGAATCTTAGGAGGGGAAGAGCGCCGGGTGGGGTAAGATGATTACCTTGTGCAAAAAACTAGATCGTGTATGAGTTGAATATTCGATTGACTCACCTTCCGTGACACACTTCCCAACTAAGCGCACGTTAAAAAAAACTGAATGTTCTCGCCTACGAAACATTTCTGAACTCTTTTATGGCCTATCTTCCTCGTTTTGAACGCTTACAGAAAGAGCACGTTTTTTCATTGACTTTCGATGACGCTACGAGTAAAGGGCATGTTTGGTACAGTGAGAAAGCAGAACGTTGTCTATGCAATCATTCTCGAGAAAATGGAAAACATTCTACAAAATGAGACACTCTAGCAGTGAATACATAGAGAGATTGTAAAACTAATGAATAATGTGTAGAATATAACAAAGGAAATCAAATAAACAAATATAGCACAAAGATAATTGTTAGGCTCATATAAATCGTAATGTACAATCAAGGAATTGAAGTGCAGTACTTTCAGTACATTTGAAATGACTGTAATAGATATGTACTGTCAAGCAGAAGCCGAAGAGTGCATGGCTGTGTACGCGGATAAATTCAAATATTGGGTCCTTGATAAGTGTTCGCCAGGCCAGCTAGCTAGTGCTTGTGTCGAGTGAGTTTTTTATTTCTCTAGATCCTCATAGTACCCAATCGTTTTTTGCGAAAATATTAGGAAGATAAAGAAAACAAAAGTCCCGGCCGTCCTATTTGAAAACGCAAGCAGTGTGTCTAAGCGATTTAGGAAAATTAGGATGACTTACCTCGAGCTCCTCATCAAAAACTAAGATCTCCCTTTTTCCGCTGTTTTCATTGACATTTGTGGAAAACTTCAATAACCTTTGTCAGTAGTCATCCTGGTCACTATCAACTTTCTTGAGTTGTAGAAAATGAATCTTCCATTCGTTCGTTTCATGATCGAATAACCAGCCCATCTTACCATTAGACTGAAAAGCTTTATAAAGAGGCTCTATCATAACGCGAGCAGTTGCTGACGAACGCTTGACATCTTAAGGGTTGCGCCCTGTGCCCCTTCGGTGATAAGATGTCATCAAATAAAGTGAAGTGTCGTACCCTGGTCACCACTAGTGAAAACGTATCAATGCCTTCAAAGCGTGATCTCGCTGCATGAGCACGTCATTATATTGAGTTGGACAGAGCTCCAGTTCGAATCCTTTCTTCAATTCGTTTTCTGAATGGAGTTTAATTTGAAATAGAAATCAAAATCAAAATTTCCTCAAGAAAGATTTTCTCGAGTAAGAGTATTGAGGAGCTGTAAGTAGCGGTAGTATAAGAGGAATTATAATCGCTAACATAACATATTTAGGTGCATATACAAAAAAAATTCATGTGGTACTGTCTCTTACTAAGGTTGATCTCGATAACATTACCACATTTCTTGATGGGTTTACGAAGACTGACAGTAATAAGCTTCACCCAAAGTACACTCGTTAATCACTTCTGCACTTTCTTTCACTACACTGAAAAATACACTATCTTTTGCTTTTGCCCACTTCCCTTTCCACTGATGAGCCCCAGAGGGAGGTGGAGACGGTATTTTTTCCATTGACAATGTTACTTCACTTAATATTTTGCGTGCTCCACCGATTCAAACTTATTACCATTTCTTATTCTCATTAACAAAAGTATTAGAGCCAAGGAGTGACGCACAATTCTTATTATTTCAATATACACTCTCCAAATTGAAAAACGGAAGTGTTGAAGGAGATCAATGCATTGGTGGCAAAGAAGATTGAAGACTCCGCAGAAGTCGTGAAATCTACGGCCTTCGAAGTAGTAAAAACGGGGTGATGTGTGGTAAACCATGTCGGAAACAGCATGGAAGGGATACTTGGAATAGGTTCAGTCGCTGCAGTTGCCTATGAGCTGGCACTCAGTGAAGAGAAAAAGGTTCTAATCTGCCTTCTACCGTCGCCTTGGGTGACGACTATTTCGAAGTTCTATCACGTGTCACCAATGGTACAGGTGTAGCTTCTACGAAGCCGCTAAAATTCCTCCACCGTTGAGTGTGACATACAGTCGGTACAATCTTTGATGTAAGAAACGGAAAACAAAAGAACATTTTCATCGTGAATTGTTCCTCCAAAACGTTAACGCGGCTAAGTTCTAAAAGATTTGTAAGAAACGGAAACTGTCAATTTTTTCCGTTACTTTGTTACTAGACTTTTCGAAAAATTCTCTTTCACGCAAATGTGTTGTGCTTGACATTATTTCGATGCTGTCGATCTTTGGTGCAAATGAGCAGATTTTCAAATCGTATGAAGCTCAATTTTTTACGACTTTTGTTTCTGATCTCGCTAGAGGGTGAAATCATGGCTTTGATGAGGTAGGCACCAACGAATAGAGATGGCATTTTGGTCCGTCCGGTCTGATTGTTAAACATGGCAGGTTTAACGATCAATTCGCATCATTGCCGGTTGTTTATTCTTGAGTGAGATTTGCATCAGTGTGCATTTAGCAAAGGTAGAACATCCGAAATGACTATCACAGAGCTGAGTGTTACCCACTGCATAGTCACGCCTCAGTAGTTATTGAACAAATCGAGAAAGTCTCTGCTGGCTTGCTACTCATCAGCTTGGACGATCAGAAAGGCAGTTTCGCGAATCATTTGTTTTGTTAACTTCGACTTTGGGCTTTCTATAGCTACCTGTCTCTCACTTTTTATTTTGCTTTTTGAGCGTCCCTGCTCCACTCAAGGAAGGGACGTATTGTTATGGAGTGAAAATTCTCGGCTCTAAAGCCTTCGAAAAGGTAAGAAGAAGGTATTCTGTAGATAGTATGAGAAAGATCAAGCAGTCATGTGGCCAAAGTCAGTGACCTAGGTAACTGAAATGGCTGGCATCGAAAAAAATAAATTTGAGTTGACTTACTTGAGAAATGCTGTTTCATGCCACGACGACAAACAAGCGATAAAAAGGTTCGTTGTTGTTAGATTATTATGTATACGTAAAAAGTCTGAATTTGTTTCAGCTTCCTGAAATCAGCTGTGGAAGAGTTTTCGTTCGCAGATGTAATTGAGGTCTTCCATTCTGTAGGTAAAAACCATATCAACGACGATGTTCTGTTCACGTTTCTCAGCGAG